AAGGATGTCAGGAATGTCAAGTACATACAAGTATCCAGCACGTACCTGCAAGTGAACTTCACTCGATTGTGAAACCTTGGCCTTTTAGGGGATGGGCTTTGGATCTTATTGGAGATATTCGACCAACGTCATCTAAAAGCCAGAAGTACATATTGGTGGGCATTGATTATTTTACTAAATGGATTGAAGCAATTCCTTTAGTCAATGTAGACCAGGAAAATGTCATTGAATTCATTCAAAAGCACATTATATACAGGTTTGGAATCCCTGAGACAATAGCAACTGATCAAGGGTCAGTCTTTATTGGTCGAAAATGCAAGAGTTTGCTACTGAAATGGGGTTCAAATTATTAACATCTACGCCTTACTATGCACAAGCCAATGGTCAAGTCGAAGCGGAAAACAAGGTAATAATCATCTTAATAAAGAAGCATGTAGGAAATAAGCCAAAACACTGGCACAAGACTTTAGATCAAATTTTATGGCCTTGTCGAATGTCTCCTAAGGAAGCTACCCGAACAACACCCTTCTAACTAACTTACGGCCATGACACAATATTGCCAGTAGAAATTTTTATACAGTCAACAAGAATTCAGAAACATCAAGACATCCCTTCCGAAGTTTATTGGAATATGATGTTAGACAAATTGGTTCATTTGGACGAAGAAATACTGAGGGCGTTGGATCTCTTAAGGTTACAAAAGAGGAGAGTGGAAAGATATTACAATAAAAGAGTAAAACCCAAGACATTCTTTCCTGAGGACCTGGTATGGAAAGTAATCCTCCCAATGGATCGAAAGGATAGAAATATGGGAAAATGGTCTCCTAAATGGGAAGGACCTTTTAAGATCATCCAAACGTTATCTGGTGGCGCATATGAGGTCAAAGAGTTAAATGAAGACCAATGGATCTTGAGAGTAAATGGTAAATACTTAAAAAGTATAGACCTGCACTTCAAGAGGTTAGATGGACCATGCCAGAATTCTTTATAGTAAGAGTCCCAGGTGGAATTTGACGTTGATGACATAACCTGTCAATAAAAAATTTATACACAATTGACATTATCAATATTATTATAAAAAATGCATCAAAAATATTAAATTTCAAAGAAACTAAATAGTGAAAGGTTAAGCCATCTTTCGTATCTGTGCTCGATGGTGCTTTTCTCTTTCCGTTAAAAGTTTATATATAACATTTTCACATTTCACATCATTAGTATATCACAAAATTTAATAGAATTAAACAAAATTTAATCAGAAACACAATTAAACAAGTCTTACAATTAAACAAAAGTTAATACATAGAATTGCAGCAACAAGTCCTACAATTAAACAAAATTTAATACATAGAAACTAAAACATGAAAAGATTATGAACTACTCAACTAATGGATAGAGAACCACATACAAAACCATGATGACTAGGAAACACAAATATCTTAAATTGTCCTTTCAAATCTCTACTAACCAAAAAATAAAAATATAGAAACACAAGATAAAATGTTATCTCAATCTTGAGTCATTGGGTCCGTTGTCGTTGTTATCTCGCCCTCGTCATCAATTAACCCCCCATCAGCTAAACCACATATTTGTTCAACTTTTGTAATAGGCATAACTGGTAACATTTCATATGATTGATAAGGAATTTCATCCTCGGTGTTATCTATCTCGACATAACCCCTTGGTTTTATGGTGATAGTTGTACACCATCCACGCATATTTCTACACGTTTCAGGATAAGGGACATAATACACTTGTTTCGCTTCTTGTGCAAGAATGAACGGGTCATATTGGCGATATCGCTTATTCATCTTAATGTCAACAATAGTGTACTCAATAATAACTTTTGTGCCACTATTATTTGTTGGATCAAACCAATCACAATAAAATAGGGCAATCTTGTTGCTAAAGCCATGTTATTCCAATTGAAGGATACGTTGGACGATGCCATAAAAATTATTTTCTCCTCCATTTGTAACACCTTTAACATATACCCCACAATTAGTAGTCTTTTTAAACCTAAGAACAAATACACTATATCTAACCTAGAAATCAGACTTAATGGCTTAGTAATACATTTTAACAGTTAATAAGGAAATCAACTGTTAATATAATAAATTTATGATTTATGTTAATTATAGTATATCTAAAATCAACCATTGATCTTTTATAGAAAGGGGTTTTAAAAATTCACTCCAAGTCAATTTTATCAACAACCAGTAGATACAAACTTACGGTTGCACAGTCACTTTCAACTATAGAAAGATGCAGTGAAGTCAGCACAAGTCTAAGTTCATATAATGTTTAGTTTTTTACAAGTTACAATTACAATTGACAGTATGTAATTTTTTTCTTTCATAAATCGATTTTTCACCCCTTTACCATCTCAATGATATCTAGTTGAGATTGATAATTTTTCCCAATGAAGTAACATTATCCTATGACCATGTCTTTGACGACCCGACAGACTCGGAAAAGAGTTTTTAGGCAGAAAGAAAACAAATGAATATTTCACAAAATGATAACAATTTATAAAAACAACTTGTTTGAAAACAATTTAAGCACATTTAAGTTCCTGAAACTCAAATTGAAACGAACCGAGTATGAAAGAAAAAACCCAGATTCAAACCTTAAAATCGAATCGAATTCTTTGAAGAAGAATATGTCAATTGAACCTTGAAGCTATTTCCTTAAACAATCCCTTGAAATTTCGTGAAACGAAAGAAATGAGAAGATATGAATCGATATGGTGATTAAGGAATTGATATGGAGATTACACCAAAACCCTAAATCAAATGAGAAGAAACGCTTACACCAAATCAAATGAAGATTGAGCTTCATGTGAGGCTAAGCGCATTTTTGCAACAAAAAAAACCCTAAATGAGTTAGAACGAAAATCAGATGAGAAACACTTTAAGCGGAGAAATTGAGAGACTGAGAATCGTACCATATTGAAGGAGAATGAGCTCTTTGAGTTAGAACAAAAATCAGATGAGAAACACTTCAAGCGGAAAAATTGAACCTGAACATTAACATGATGAAAGTGATTAGAAATATGATGAAGCGATTTTGAGAAGCGATTTTGAGAAGCGATTTGGAGAAACTAAAGCTCACTTGGAATTGGAGAAACTAAAGCGTGAATCGAGCGATTTGGAGAAACTGAAGCGTGAATGAAGCGATTTTGAGAATCAATTTTGAGAAGGTGAAGTTGAATGACCCTAAATTGAAGCGTGAAAGAAGCTGAATCGATTTTCTCTTTAGTTTCTCATTTTGTTTTTACTTTATTTAGTTTTATTTTATAATTCTAGTTTTATTTTCAAATTTTTAATTTTATTAATAAATTTTGTTTTATTAATAATTAATTGTATTAATATAATTTTATAATTCTATTTTTATTTTATAAATTAGTTTTTAACTTCAAGTTTAATATAATTTTATTAACTTAGTTAAAATTTTATTTTATTTTACTAATTTATAATATTGATTTTATTTTATAAATTTTAGTTTAATATAGTTTTGATTTTATTTTATAATATTGATTTTATTTTACTATATTTACATATATATTTACAATATATTTAAAACAATGCATTATTATTATGTTATATATCATATATTATTTATTATTATATAAATATATAAAGGAGGCAAACGAAATTGATGCGAAAAAAGAAAAATATTTGGCACCAACATTAGCGTCGACTTAAACCTACGCTAATAATAAATAAATATTTAAAACAATATATTATATGAATATATAGAGGAGACAAACAAAATTGATGGAAAAAAGAAAAATATTTGGCACCAACCTTAGCGTCGGCCAAAACCTACGCTAATAATAAAAATAAATATTTAAAACAATATATTATATAAATATATAAAGAAGGCAAACAAAATTGAAGGAGAAAAAAGAAAAATATTCAGCACCAACATTAGCGTCGGCTTAAACCTACGCTAGTAAAAAAATTAATATTTAAAATAATATATTATATAAATATATAAAGGAGACAAACGAAATTGATGGGAGAAATAGAAAAATATTTGGCACCAACATTTGCGTCGGCCTAAACCTATGTTAGTGATAAAAAATAATTATTTAAAACAACAAATAAAAATGAGGAAAAAGGAATTGATGGGAAAGATTATATAAAGACCAAAATATAGCGTCGACTAAAATTGACACTATATTTAATAATAAATTATAGATCAGTTGGGTTTGCCAATTATCGTCGGTGTTGTGCGTAGAAGCAACGCTAATAGCGTTGGTATCAGGGCTGACGCTAATTTCTTGCATCTAAATCGTGTTTTTCTTGTAGTGATCGGACGATATAAATTAGAGAATAAAATCCGATTTCGATTACGCGACAACGACGATTCCTTTTTAATTAGTTCTTTTTCAAAGAGGAAAACAGTGTTCCATGGATAGTTCAATTTAAGAATAATAAGAGTATCGACGAATTGATGAGATCCACATTCCAACATTGCATTTCTGAATTAATTATATTCTTTTATTCTACTTTACTTTCCGTATCTCCAATCATTATTTTAATCGACTTAGATAAACACCGTAGCAATATAACACTCCATCATTTTCACATATTGATATTCTCTGATTGTCATTTGACAACGATCATAATTTTTTGTCTGATTTTAAAATTTCCACGTTAATCTCTTGTGTTGATATTTTATTCCTCTTTTTTCTCTATTTTTTTTTTCCTAACACAACACACCTAAAAATATTGATCCAATAATATAATGAGGAAAACATGATTTATATGGCAAGCAAAGAAGCTTCTAAATTGTTCTCATAGAGCTATTATACAATGAGAAACACACATAACATTATACCAAAGCAAAAACTCCTAATAGAAAACTAAAGATGAAAAAAAGAAAAAAAAACAAGTGTAGTAGTAACCAATCTAGCAATCTTAACAAATTTTCATACATGTCTTCTTACTATACATAAAACTAAATTCAAATCCAAGTTTTCCAAAATAACCCCTTCAAAGTTTCAATGTCAAATCTGGTGTAGATTTTTCTATATCCACACATGGATTCACCTCATTGAGTATGAAATTCTCTTGTCCATCACCCGCCTCCGACGCCTTTCGGAAACTACCAGGCCACAACAACTCCGACTCCTCATCTTCCAAGAACATCGGAAATCCAACACACCCTTGTTGCTCAAGTCTCGTATTGTTCTTCGTCTCGTGATGATGATGATGAGGCCTAATTGCTGTTGGTACTGAGAAACCATAGTGCATTGAAGAGTGTGTTTTTATCCCTAATGACCTAAAAGAACCATGCAAAGGTAGAGATGCTAAACTAGCATTATACCTATCAGAGAAAATTCCCATTCTCGTAGCTCTTTTGGCTATTGTTCTTTCTCTTTTGTGTGCATTTTGGTGTCCACCAAGAGCTTGTGAGCTGAAGAACTTTCTCTGACAGTAATTGCAAGAGAAAACTCTTGGAGTTGTTGCTGATGGAGGTTCATTGCTGCTCTCAGAAGTGCTTGAGAGTGAGAATCCTATTGTTGTTGTTGGTATCTCATTGTTCTTGAAATTGAGAGTTAAGTCGAGAGATATATCATCATGGTTAGGGTTTGTGATGTTGGAAGAGGCTTCTTGAGTTGATACATTGGAACCAACTTGGCTTGTAACTTCAGATTCATATTCTGGATAAGCTTCCACTTCAAGATCAATGCTTTGTTTCATGATTTAGCAGTGGAAATCTTGTTTTATCCTGCAATTACAATAATCCACCAGCTTGTATTTATTGCAATCATGAAAACAAAAAAAATTGTAGTTAATTCACAACACGACGACTGCAATCAGTATTGTAATATCTATACCGAATGAAATCACAAAATCTTTACACAACCGCAATGCGAAGGTTATTTACAACCTTAGATACAACCACATGCATCAACACCAGTTGGTTGCAGGTCAAATTTTAAAGACAATAAACAAGATAGAGTGACCTCATTTTCAACACACAAGATATATAGAGAAAACCATAAACTTTAATATAGAGAACTAATTGCATGCAGGTATTTTTTTTTCTTTTTCCTTCAATCAAGATTTTCATTCTACAAGAACAAACACAGATTCATGACAAAGAAAGGCTTACTTGGGATAAGTTTACTTTGAAGCCATTTCAAGAGGAAGAGTTTATTGGTAGCAAAAGTAATGCAAAATGGGTGCACTCATTTCCCTTTTTTATTCTGTGATTCAAACTTACTCCTATCTGAAAAAGAAGAAAGAATTTAAGATGAGTGGAAGTGAAAAAGTAAAATAAGTACAGAAATGAGAGTAAAAGAGTGAAAGTAGTTTGCTTTTGTAAATCACCTGAACACTGTTTTAGAATTGGAGACATTTGTTTTCATTGCTTGTTGTTGCTATGAGTGATTATTATGAGAAGACAGAACTGGTTCTTGTATCTTGAATGTGTCTGAAAGACTAATAAAGGGTGTGGTGAGGATTTAAATATATTTTATTTTGTAAGTTGAACTGATACAAGATAAAAGATAAAAGATGAAAGATAAAAGCATAGTAACTTTAATCTATTTTCTTATTCCTTTCAATGTTGGGATTTTTCAAGAGAGCTAACTAGTAAAAAGTACTATTTCCACTTCCAAAGTTCAATCAACAAGTTATTGTAGTACATAGTATAAAGTAAAATAAGGAAACAAGAGTGTATTATGGTCAATTATTCCCACCAATGTATGATTCTCTAACTTTCTCTTTCTTTTGTCCTCTTTCCCCACTTCAAAAGTGACTTTAGTATATATAAGTCCACAAATGTATGGGGTCAGCTTTCAATGTTTCATATTTGGTTCCATCTGTCACTTCTTCCAGCATATAATATTCATGGTATGTACTATAATAGAACATATAACATCATTTCTTTTTCTAATAACTACTCCACTCACTCACCACCACAAATAAGTATTCACCAAATGTCCTTTTCCCAACAACCGTTTCATAGTTATTTTCTTGAAAATATATCCCTCTTTTTACATCTTATTAGTTCTTACAAACTTCTCCTTCAATCAAAACTATTCCCCACTCCAATATACTCATTACAAGTCAAAAATGGTATTAATGGAACATGTGTGATTCTTGGTTATCTAAAACAAGATAACATTTTGATTCATTACAAAGGATTAAAAAGTGTAACCCAATGGTATGGATTAAAATAAATAGCAGGCGTTTTTTTTTCTTTCAAAAATCCTCACTAAATCGGTTGAAAAATAAATAAAAGAGAGATTTCCACGTCTCTCATGGTAAACGGTACATAATAAATAAAAAGAAATATTTTATATATAATCACTCTAGTTATTAATGTATGGTTAGGAAAAAATATCTCATGAGTTTGGCAGAGTTTGTTGACTCTACGCCCTTGACAAAATTATTAATGTATGATGGCGGGATACTGTCAATTATTTTAGGTTTTATTTGGAGACTGATATCCAAAATTGCTATGAAAAGGTCTATAAAAGACATAGCACGTTATCTCAACGACTTCTAGTTTAGGGTTGGAGTATCGGGTGGTGCTGATATTATTTTGCACAGTGCCAATAGGGTATTAAACAAACGGCATGAAGACGATTATTTGGCTATGATCACGGTAGATTTCTCGAATTCTTTCAACATGGTAGCTCGATAAACTCTATTGTGCGAGGTGAGATACTCATCTATTTCTTTGTGGGTTGAGTTTCTTTATGGTCAAGCAACAAAGTTGTACCTTAAGGATCAACATATTATGCCAACCATTAGAGTGAAACTAGGTGAACCGTTATGACTACTCCTTTTTTCTATTGTATTACACTCATTCATTCATCAAGTTAGCAACAATTGTAAGTTTCTTCTTCATATCTGGTATTTGGATAACGAAACTATTATAAAGGATTCACAGGAGGAAACTAAAGCCTTTAACATCATTTGAGAGATAGGTCCAGGTTTAGGTCTCAAATTAAATATTCGTAAAATTGAAATCTTTCGATTTTCGTGTGATGGTATTAAGCTTCGAGAGTATTTGTTCCCATAGGACATTGGGAGACCAATGTTGGGGATGAAGTTGCTTGGAGTGGCTATTAGTCGAGATGCAGGTTTTATCAAGGGGTTGTACATGAAGAAATCTTTAGGTATGTTGAGTTAATTCATCTTCTACCACAACTAAGGATTCTTAAGAGTGAGCTTTTCCTACTTCGATCGTGCATGGGTATTACCAAATTATTTTTTGGCCTATAAATGTATCAATCTAATCATACGGTTTGATAAAGAATTACAAAGGGTGATTGAAGACACCGTGTTTGGTGGAAGTCATTTCTTGGGGGACCTTCAATGGAGGGTGGTTTTTTTACACATTAGAGTAGGAGGATTAAGTTTGTATTCAGAAATAGATGTTGCCTCTTCCGCTTTTGTGGCTTATATGACCCAATCTTGACTATTATAAGATCATATATTGAGAGACAGTGAGATATATGATATGGAGTCTGATTACAGGAGAACTTTAGATGGTTTAGTGTTGTATTCCATATTTTGACCTTAGTAATTTTACTAGTAAGGACATCATCCCTCCTAAAAGACAACATATATTTGGCGAGTGTCATTTTTAGTAAAAAAATGTTCAGGACATGGATGTAAAATTTGACATGACCACAAGACAAAAATATTTTTTTTGTTTATAAACTCCACTTGCTCGAGTCTTTCTCATAGCTATTCATGTTGATGGTTAAATAAAAAATATGTCACTCGTGGAGTATTGTACTATCATGAGATAGCACTCTTATGATTTCCTTATTTTCTTTTGATGAGGTTTGTCTTATTTGTCACAAGGTGTGTTTGGATATATTTGGAGAACACACAATTCATTGTAGGGAGCTTCCAGACTTTAAATATCTACATAACATTGTTAAGGATATTTTATTTGACATATTTTGGCGGGTCGATGTCTCTGTGAAGAAAGAGACACATGTGAATTTCTTGACTAACCCATGTGATGGGTGATCAACACTTAGGCCAACAGATGTTCTGGTATACGAGTGGGTAGGAGGGGAGCATGCAAGTGTGGACATGGCAGAGATTTTTTCCACTAGTGGAATTGAAAACTAGAGATTTTACTATGTGACAATCATATTTGAAAGTCGCTTCAAGTAAGGTGGTCAAACATGAGAAAACATATTTTGACAATCAACATGCTTTAATATTATTTGTCTTTAACACTTTTGATTTTCTAGCACTAAAAATAATATATCTTTTAGAGAGAAATCAAATATTTATGCATAACAATATTGTATCTCTTATATATCAATAGATATAATTTTTAAGAAAATTATTTTTCATTCAAAAAAAAAAGATAACGAGGCAGTTTCTTGTTTATTTGCTTTTTTATTTTATTTAAATTTTATTTTATATATATAAGTATATAAAATTATAATTTCACAGCAAAAATTCGAAAACCAAGTTGACATTTTCAATCTATGAAAATGAGGAAAAATAATGGAGGGTGTTTTTTATGGCCTTCAACCTACATCATGAAGCTGATAATGTTTTTTTTTTTGGAAGATAATAGGATATATATATATGGTCCATTGTTCCACGCATGAAATTATGAAAACATCATGTCAATAGATCCAACATTTTCTCTTTTCAACTTGTAAGACTCATATCTTTCATTTTTAATCTTAAAATTTCAACCATGCGAATTGTAATCCAATTGCTTGTGAGCACGAGATGGAATCAATGTCTCTCTCAAATTCACCATGATTCATAATTCTATATATTCTATTGGTTAAATATTCTTTCTGTTTTAAAATAAATTTTACTTTTAAATCTTTGCAACACATATTAAAAATAAAAAAAAATAACTAAAACATAATATATTTTTTTGTTAAGTTAATTTTATTAATATATTTAAAATAGTGTACACAATAATATATAAAAAGACAAAAATAACAAAATAATAAACATTTCAATCTTAGAAATAATGATGGCATTCATTAAAATATTTAAAACAACACTTATTTAGTGATAATCATATTTAACTATCAATATTTATTTTTATTATCATAAATATAAATGTAAATTGAATGCAAATAATTTTAAAGGGGTATATATAAAATTAATTAAATAATATAATTAAATGAAATTAATTTTATATTAAAATATTAATTTAATTACAAGTTTTGCTTACACATGGAATTGTCAGAGAAGCACTTGTGCACAATTATTATATGGCTACCCTATTAAAGTGATTCAAATGATAAAACAAACTCAACTTCTACTATGTCGTACTGATCAATAAATTGAATTTACATGAAGGCATGTGTGGGAAGTGATAGCTTTAGTACTCTCAATAATAATTAATTTCATGTGATAGCCTGCAAAAGAAGAAATAAATTGTAGCTTATGAAAAATGTTAGATAGGAAAAAAACTTTATGAAAAATCAAAAATGATTTTCAAAATTGCATTTTTAGAATGCACCTTTAAATTTCATAATATAAAATTATATTGGAAATATATTTTTGATTTTAGTATAGGATAGATCTCAAAAAATGAACAAATTATATGTGTATAGGATGCGTATCGGAAATATATTTACGGTTTATGGGAGTACTTTTGAAAATTTACGTGGGTGGCTAAGAAATACTTAGAATGCATTAAAAAATTCTCCAACATCAGCCAAATTTATTATGGGCTAATTAAATGG